ATATTGGAACAGACCGACGTTTATTAATTCTGTGCCTTTCGAACTGTTTAGCGGAACCTCGTAGAACGGAAAACGCTGATCATCGAGTGTCGATGAATGGAAGAGATATACGTATGCGCGAATACACCGATGTCGCGTTATATTTTAAGAAGACTCGAAGATATAAAAAGCTCGAGGGAGCCCCTTTTCACCCTGCACCGCTCGAGTTGATCTCCACCACCATCGTCGCCACCACCCCTCTGACGATCGCTCGGCTTACCTTTGACTTACGCTTTCTGCTACCCTTACGTTGACCGGCGAGATCGATGCAAGCACAGCATATAACGAACTAGCTAGCGAGGTCTCGAATTTCGCGTCTCTGGTAACGGTATGACGCAATTCGGTAAGCCGCGGTGGTAAAGTGGCTGCTAGGTGGGCTGCGCCGAACGATAGAAATTAGGGGGTAGGTTAGGCGTAACGCCGCTCGGATTATCGGCACATTCCTCGCAAGGTGGATTATATCGTGCGCTCGATTCGAAAAACTCGTTTCGCGAACGTCGGAAAACGTGAACGATCCGGGAAGAATCCTTGGAGAGGGTCGCGCATACGGCCAGCATCCGGAGAAGTCCTCGCTGGGGGTTAGGGTCACGTCGCGTAAAAGCAAGGTAGACCGTGGAAGCGGTATATGCGGTGCAGGTGGTGGGGAAGGTCGAAAAAGGTGAAGAGCGAGGGGGGTTCATTGAGGAACGGCACGTGTAGAGGATAGAGAGCGACCGCGAGGTGGAAGGAACCGAGCACGGCAGGGGGTAGAGGCCGGGGCCAAGAGGGGCAACAACAGGGTTGCCAGGCGACCATCAGCCGATAGGTTGCCCCTGGCGACTGATTGCGTCACTGCAGCGCCGTATGACGTCACGCGACGCCACTGCCCTTGACCGTTCGAGTCCGGGGAGAGCGTCCTGACGACCCTCTTCTCCCTCTTCGCTCTACGTCCCCCCGTCAACGCCCCACCACCTTCCGGTCACCCCGACGCCGTGCCTCTGACGCCGTTGTGATCCGGAGGGGCGAACTTAGCCGCGGAAACGAGCAAACACCTGCACCGCGTACGTCGCGGGTTCTCCTTCTTTCCACCACTCGTAACAGGGGGTTGCAAAGGCGCTACAAAAATAGTACGTTCGTTGCGGATATTTTAGGAATTACGTTGATCGGTCGTCGTTATTTTTACCGGCTGCTCTTTTATACAGCTCGCGTTTCGTTCGTTACCGAAGAGAGCCAGTTCGAAAGATGGTAATGAGATTAACCGCGTACGAACGCGGAATGGACGTTCCGTTGATAGGGGAGATTACATTGTTCCGACGATGTCGTTGCTTTCCTGCGAAGCTTTAAACGCATTAGCGTCGATAGGATTCTTTCGTGGTACGTAGAATTGATTTTGTAACGGACTCGATGAAATAACACCTGCCATACGGACCGACGGGAAAAGGAAAAGCGGAAAATTTATCGCTGTTCTGTCTATTATTTATGCACGATAAAATCGATCTGTTCTGTACCGCGATCGAGAGCGAACAATTAAAATTGCTACGATACCTCTCGACGCTCAAATGTTATGGTCCGTTTTACCGACGCAAGCGATTAGCAGTTTCGAGAAAATGTTGCATCGGACAAACGTTACGAGTCGATCTCGAATCCTTTACATTTCATTAGAGAATTTATGATACCATAACGCTTCCTGCGGAACCCAGATCGTATTCGTGGGCGACCAGCATACACCTAACTTACTGTTTAATTCTCGATGAGAAGCGGAAGAAAGTTACGGCTATCTAACTTTCTACCATACACTTCGTAAGTACGCGTCGTAAAAAAATTCAATAAGAATTTTCTCAGAATTTTCTTATTCTTTTCCGACCCGCTTCTACCAGTCTCCGCAACTCGGCAGTTTCTCTAAAAAATATATCTTTACAAAATAATTTCGACACTTCTGATCTCTTTTGTTGACATTTCAAAGTGACAAGTTCTCCCGTGTATGTGTAGTAGTGCATCTGTGTGTATCGAACCTACCCAGCTGACGTCTGTTCATTCAATGTACTCGTCCATTCATAAAATATAGTATGACGACGCGCATGCGCGTGTTTCGTATCCTCCTACCTTTATAATTCGATTCATTACCTGTAGTTAAAAATGATTGTATCGGTTTATTGAAACTGGACTTCTGTTCCTGAATCTAACTGTAAATTCCAGGGGACGCGTCAACGCTGATATACAAAAAGTCCTCTTATTTTTTAATTTTTAATGAATGATTCCCTTGTGCGCCGATAGATAGCAGAAGCACTTCGTTCCCAGATACGTGAACCGATGATCTATCCAATACGATCTTCGCGAATTTTTGACCTTATTAATATTCAAAATATTGTAATATCACCGTAAATGAGACATATTATTGTATTTAAAATCAACGAAAGAGAAAAGAGGAGTTTATAAAGTAGTATACGTGTTAAAATAATTTATTTTATGAACCTCGAAAGCATGTAATTTTTGTATTCTCTTATACTTGACTTTGCAACTTTGTCCGCGTTTTTCTTTTGCACCACTTAACCAATTCTCGTCAAATTTTGCATGCACATGCGTATGTACATCCAGATGGGCATAGGAAAAAAAAATTTTAATCGGACTTGCCACGAACGAATAATCACCGATGAAACTGATCCTACGATGTGAGGGTCCGAACACGCATATAAGGAAAATAAAAAAATGAATATTT